AAAAAAAAAAAATCAAATAAACATTGCTGTGGTATTCAGTTGTTTTTTTGATTATTATTATCACTAACGATAATCTCTAATCTTATTTTGATGGAATGTTTTACCCAGTAATGGAAATTCCGTTTTGAAATCTTTAGTTTCTTTTGATGATAATTATTTATAAGGTGTAATTTTGTAAAATTATAGCTAAAACAAACAAGGTTTATTTACACTCCATCAATTTTTATGTTTGAACTTACCATGTTCATTCTAAACAAACAATAAAATTAACTTAAAATTTTACTGTTTAAAATAATAATAATAATAATATATACAGGGTGAATTGCTACTCGTGCTACAAACTTCTCCAGTAGATTCTTCACCCTAAAATGAACAAAAAAGTTCATATTGTCCATGGTCCGATTCTCAACCATTTCAGAGTAATTTCGCTTTTTATCGATTTTGAAAGATATCACGTCCTGGCGTCGGAAAATCGTGATATCTTTTAATCTAAACATTTCTCTGAAAATCTAATAGCACCGTTGAAATTCCCGTTAATTTTTCAATAAGAAGATGACGGTGGCAAAATGTTTGGGCTAATTTTTTGTGTTTTATTTCAGCCAGAACTACAAAAAGAGTGGAAAATTGTGTAAATCGGAAAGTGTATAAAGTAATCCAGAGTTTCTAATTTTAGTCTCAGAAGGCAGCAAATTTGAGGAAAACTACCTGATTTAATAACGCTTCCAACGCACTCGTCATTTTCTTATTTAGTGGTTGTGAGACCAAGATGTTGATGACAAAAAGAGAAAAAATGGTGGTTCAAGGATTGCTAATGTTTGAGAGTGACTTGCTACTCGTGCTACAAACTTCACCAGTAGATTCTTGACCCTAAAATGAACAAAAAAGTTCATATTGACCATGGTCCGATTCTCAACCATTTCAGAGTAATTTCGCTTTTTATCGATTTTGAAAGATATCACGTCCTGGCGTCGGAAAATCGTGATATCTTTTAATCTAAACATTTCTCTTAAAATCTATAAGCACCGTTGAAATCCCCGTTAATTTTTCAATAAGAAGATGAAGGTGGCAAAACGTTTGGGTCTTTCTTCCTTGACCTTCTAGCTGTTTGTAAACTTCTTAAGCATTACATACTAAATGGGCATTAAATTAAATTAAAAAATTTCAATGGAATTATGATTTTGATTCTCTCTAAAAATTAACGGGGATTTCAACGGTGCTTATAGATTTTAAGAGAAATGTTTAGATTAAAAGATATCACGATTTTCCGACGCCAGGACGTGATATCTTTCAAAATCGATAAAAAGCGAAATTACTCTGAAATGGTTGAGAATCGGACCATGGACAATATGAACTTTTTTGTTCATTTTAGGGTCAAGAATCTACTGGAGAAGTTTGTAGCACGAGTAGCAATTCACCCTGTATAAATAATAAATTTTAAAAAATTGTGAAATATTAGTAGTATTAACACCAAATTTAAATTTTAAAATGCAATCAAATAATAATATTTTCAATTATTTGATATATAATAAGTTTAAATGATAAAATACAAGGGGTTTAGATAATTTGAAATAAGAATAAGCTTGCACATTCTCAGATTCTGCACTTGAATCTGGAAGGAAATCAAAGTGCATTTTTCTGCATGAGTATATGTTCTTCAGTGGTCATTAAGAATATTTTTCAAATCTAAAAACACACAATCTTGAAATTTCAAACAAAATATATAAAAACTGATTTGAAACAGTCGTCTCTAAACTACAATATACTAAATAATGGTTTCTGGGACCCCCTAAAAATTTAGCATGCAGTACTAGAACTTACGTTTATAAACAACTTGAGTAATCCTTCATAATCAAAAGTTATTATCTTCTCATAAATGCTTCTTATTAAACCTAATTTCAGTTTAGAATTGGAAGGAGTCGTTGGCAAAATTTACTTTCCCCATTCTTACATTCCTTTCAATCTCATTGAACCGTGGAATTTAACAATATACACAGTTTCTGAGTTTCGGAGTGATAAGAACATTCCGCAATGTCAGAAAATCCTGGAAATTCTTCATTCCTATAGAAGGGGGATATTCCCCTCACGATGGAAAAATACGACCCTTCTTGAGGGTTGTCAACCCCATTTGAAATATTCTGGTTTGAAGGTGTTAAACGTTAATAAATCTACCGTTTGCTTCGTATCATTTCTAACAGTAGAAGTTATTAAAATGTTTTTACTCTTTGTTATGTTTGTTTACCTTTGGAGATCGGAAAGTAGGTTCTATTCTTTTACCTCGGATCCCATTTCTCTCGATGGCATATAAACATAAAAAAAGATATACACGTTTACTATAGACAGGGATGAAGTGGATTTTCGGGGATAGATTTTTACCACACACCTGAGATACATTCGGGAATTCAATCAAAACAAGGGATACGGGGGAATTATTGTTTCGGACCCGAACGGCCGTTTTATCCCTACGCGAATGGTCTTCCTTAGAAAGCTTTGTGATATATAATACCAATACAAAAATCCTCTCACATGTCGGCTAATGAACCTTTCTGCGGCGAGTGTAACCGACAAAATTTGTAAGAAAGTTGGGCCTTGTTATATACATATAAATACTAAGGGCAATTTTAACACTATTTATGATCCGCATTTACTTTCAAAACGCCATGTATTTGCGAAGATTCGGAGAAAAAATTCAAAGAAACCACGGAAAATGCAAATTGCAAATTAAGAAGAATGTGTTTTTCAATGGCAGGGAGCTATCAGTATGAATAGTCAGTATAAAATACACCACTTATCCTTAGGCAACTGGGTTTCTTTTATGAAGAACTGGAGTGGATATTCATCTTAAGGATGTAAAGAAAATTAAAAATATAATAGTTTATTTCATACAAAATACATTTTAAATTTTTAAATAAGCTGCCCTCTTATATTGTTCCAGTTGTTCTCATTCTTCACGACCGTCCATGATTGATAGTTACAATAAGGTACGTTCCACATCATGAAATAGCGATCTACTAAAAGGGGCGGGCGAATGAATCCCACTGGGACCAAAATCCTTTTGGGGGAGACCCGAGTTTCATGAAGGATGATGTTATTATTAAGTGGTATAATAATAACGTATCGATAAAAGCACCCCAGGATTATGGAAAGCCAATGTGTTTATTATTATATATTATTATTAATATTATGAGCCCAAAATCACTATTTACTTTATAAAAAAGTGGAGATGAAAATGCTGACATAAATACTAAAATGGGAATTTCCCATTCGGGGCAAAGCTGAGAAAGATAAGGTAAGATATGTAAGTGGCTATAAACGGCTGATTTACATGAAAACCCCATTTTTCCTAACCAAGGGAGATTGCATTTGCAACTTAAGCTTGTAAAAGCAATAATAACTTAATAAAGTTCTCATATATTTTTTTAATTTGGGTTTTCGATATAATAAGCATTTTTCTATCTTAATTTATTGACGAGAGATTAGAAAAAGAGAGTGAAAATGAGAGTGAGAGCGCGAAGTGAGAAAGAGCGAGGGAAAAAATTGAATTTTGAAACGAACATTTTATTTATAAAAGCTCGCAAAATTAGGTCTCCTGAACCTTTCTTATATTAAACGAGCATTCGTACATACAAATAAAGTTTACGTAATTCCAAATACAAAATACATATAATACCCATATACATGTATATATTTTTACTGTGTACATGTATTTTTAAATATTATTGATGTTGTACAGAGTATATTTGAACATAATCTAATGAGAGAAAAGTTTTACATATTTCTTCTAAATATGTTTAGATTTGCATGATTTTATAACATTGGGTAATGTATTGTAGTTTTACAGATTTAGGAAAACTTTTATAATGGATTATAAAAACAGCGTGTACGACACAACGGCATTTTAAATATAGTTTGAGAACCTGTAAAAGCAGTTTTTTAATGAGAAAAAATATCAAATAGGTATAATGGTTCTTATATTGTTATTATGTTGTGTAAAATCGTCAAAATTTTGCATTTTAGCAAATCATCAATTTTTAAAATGGATAAATTAGTATTTGTCATGAATTCTAGAAACATGATGTAGATTACAGTACAGCGAATACATACTTTTATAGTAACATGTAACTTATGAAGATTTTTACTATAAAGATTAAAAAGTACTGCAAGGCCACAAGTTATATTTGGAAGTATAAGTGCATTAAAAGCTTTAGATTAATGGATGTATATTAATATTAAAGCTTTTTTAAATTAATGTTCAATTAAATGTAGTCTGCAATAAGCTTTATCAATATGGTAGAGGGAGGGAGAGAGAGAGAGAGAGAGAGAGAGAGAGAGAGAGAGAGAGAGAGAGAGAGAGGGGGAGAGAGAGAGGAAGAGAGAGAGAGAGCGTGAGTATTGTTTTATTTAAAAAATCTCGCAGATTTAGGTTGCGAACGACCTACAACCTTTCAATTAACGGAAAAGAGAGAGAGAGAGAGAGAGAGAGAGANAGGAAAATAGAGAAAGAGAGAGAGTGAGAGAGAGAGAGAGAGAGAGAGAGAGAATGGGAGTAATGGAGCGAGCAGAAGAGTGAGAGAAAGAGAGTGAAGGGAAAGTGAGTGAGAGAGAGAGAAAGGGAGGAGAGAGAAAGAGATGGTGGAATTGTCAAGTTTTCAATAGTAATTAAATTGAGCTATATTTCAGTTCAAAATCTAATATAACTAGCCAACAATTAACTTGTTCAATACTATTTATGCTAAACATTTTCCCCAGAGACAGACAAGAAGTTCCCTCATTTGACTGAAATCTCTCCAAAAATAGACAACTGATTCACTGCTAGAAATTGAATTTATTTTTTAATCCTCAGACCTGGGAGGAGAAGAAGATTTATATCAGAAAAATGAAAACGGCCAAAATCGCAAGGGAAAAACGTGAAAACTTGAAAAGATGGAAATAAGACGACGTAAAATATTAAAGGACACTGGCGAGAAAATACAATCTCAGCAGTGAAAATAAATGTGAATTACCTGGACGTTCTGCCGCATTTTGTTTATTGCATCGAAAGCGGTTCGGCAGTGATCTGGTGTGTGGTGGTAGTGAGTGACTGGCTGGTTGCCTTCCATTGTAGGAAGTCTGAAACATAAAGTTCATTATTTCTTTCTTTTGGTTAAATAAAACGACCAGCTTGGCTTTAAAATAGGTAGTCTTGGGTTTAGCGAGAATTAATGCAGGGTAGTTGTGTGAGATTGCTTATTTAGACCATTTATTTATAGCTAGACCATACCATAATTTGTGCATAATATATTGTCAGTTTTTATTGATGACAGCTTAATACCTGTAAAAATCATCTCAATTTTAATTGGGATCATTCAGTACCAACAAATACATAGAATTCTTCTCCAGTGTTGTCAAAGCCTTGCCATTAAAATCAACCATTGAGTTCATTTTGTCACGGTTAATAAATTAAATCGTTAACAAATCTGTCGTAAAAGTAACGAAGTAGTTTACAAACCGGATATTTCGCTAAGAAACTTCATTTTAATATGCTTTGCTTAGTGACTTACAATGAGAGACTATGGGATAACTTACAATCTTAAAAAAAGATAAATTGTAGAATAAATAGATTATAGAACTGTGGGGAACCGCTGAACTTTCCAAGATCCAATGTTTCCAACCGTCGCAGTACTATGTCTTCAATACTCTCTTCTACAACGACCTTAAAATCCCGTTTATCCAGAAATTCCTACAAAATTTACCAAGTGTCTTGGTAAAGCCTCTCATCACCCCGATAGTCTTGGCCAAGCCATGTTCAACAGATCCCATCATTTTAATCCTCCAAGGCGTCTTTTTTTAAAATAATAGTTGTCAAATAGCGAAGTGAAGTGTACTGGGTGTATACAGTGATTATTTATACTAGTGATTACGTATATTAATTAGTTGTAACTTTATGTGGGCGTATCCTCAAATAAACTTTGTTGATACAAATTGCAAATGGTAAGAAATTGATTAAATTTGAATTTATGTAACCCTGTGTTATATCAATTTCGCGTTTGTACTATAAGTTTAACAATCACTTGTTTACCGAGCATGACGTTCGAACGAGAATCTTCAATGTTCTAAATTTATTGAACGTTTAGGCGAATAGAAGTCTGATGCAACTACGAATTGGTGATCACACTCAAACGTGATTAAAAATTTTTATGATGATGTTTATCGATGTTTTTTCTCCAACCAGAAAAGGAAGAGTGTTTTCTACTGAGAAACGCCCGACTCAGATGGCGTGACGGTTTAGCATACAAAAGCCGCCGTCATAAATTCTAGTTCTCTTTTTGTTTTAAAATAAATGAAGTCATCCACTCAGAATATCGCCGACAATTGCCTCACTCCTTGCCCTGTTGGATCGAAATTGCTTGTTACAATCTAATCCGAATCGTTTTCCTGATAGTGATCATGTCATTGGACTACTAGCAGTCTCAATTGAATTATTTCACTCGTAACTTTTTTCTTCACTTAGCAATATTTTTGTTCCTAAGTTCTAAGGTTTCTAGTTTGCTAAGATTATTTAAAGTGGACTATATATCTATGTTAAAGCCATTATATTTCGTGGTCCGATTGGCCAAAAAACTTCTTTCAATTAATTAATTTTATGTAAGGTATTGGTTGAAATGAAAAAGTTAGTGTCACGAGCGGGATTCGAACCCATGACCTTCGGCTAAATACGCCGCTGCTCTACCACTTGAACTATTGTGATGATCTAATATATATCTATATTATATATAATATAATAAAAAATATCAATATATAATATATATTTATATATATGAGATCATAAAATAAATAAATATAAATAAAAAACATTACAGCTTGACATTTCAACAGTGTGGCTACCACAAAACCAATTAATTTTTATAAAATTAACAATTTACATTTTTTAAAATTATTTTTTATAAATATTAAATGTTATATAAATATTAACAACATAATTTGTATATTTTAATGTTTACTTGAGATTTGAGTAATAATTTAATATCTTTAATTTTGTGTGGTGATTAGTGACCGTTATTCGATATTTATTTAGAAATCGTGAGATGTGGTCTAGTGTGATGTAGGTTTCAGAAAAACATTTTCTTTATCGTGCCAATGTTTCGATCTTTATTGAGATCATCTTCAGGGCTCAAAGTGTTTGTCTTCTGTATAATTGTGCCATTCTTGCGTGTCGTGTCGAGAGTGCCAGAAAATGTTTTTCTGAAACCTACATCACACCAGACCGCATCTCACGATTTCTGAATAATTATTCGCTAAGAACTTTTTTAAAGGATTTATTGGGGGCAGAGTGTCACTCTCGACACGTCACGCAAGAATGGCACAATTACACAGAAGACAAACACTTTGAGCCCTGAAGATGATCTCAATAAAGATCGAAATGTTGGCACGATAAAGAAAATGTTTTTCTGAAACCTACATCACACCAGATCGCATTTCACGATTTCTAAATAAATATCTTTAATTTTGTTTTTAATGCAGTTATCTAAATTTTTACAAGTGAAAAATTTCCAACTGGACAAATTGTTATAAAATGAGTAGTATAGCTGTTACTCGTGTCATATTTGAAACAATATTGTAGTAAAATCTAAATAATTAAATACGGATTATCCGGGATTATTTACCAGTTAGAGTTAGCTTTTTTTAAAACGAAAACCTGCCAAAAAACAAAACAAAAAACTCTTGTATATGATCTTATCCGAAATCCTTCGATCCCTCCCTAAAAAAAGCGACCTTCTTCCTATCGTACCTCTATAATGATGACCTAAGAACTACTCACTTTCTTTTACAATGGAAGTTTTCCATTGTAAAAACGATCACAAAACGATAAGGTTTTACTTTTGACTTACTTCCATGATTTATGGAATATTGAGTTCTGTAAGGAAAATTTGGAGTTAAGTATGAGGGCGAAAGGATAATAGGAAGGCAGGTTTTAATTAATTGCACTGTGATTTTTCGTGAACAGTCGAGCTTAGTAGTTAGATTACGTATTCATTCTTACTTAATCCAAAAATTTGCGTTATCGCAATGAAATTTTTTGAGAAATTGTTTTTATGCAAGGTGTTGTTGAGATGAAAAAGTTAGTGTCTCGAGCGGGATTCGAACCCACGACCTTCGGTTACCTTTTCATCTTAACTAAGACCTTAAATAAAAAGCATAATTGAAATAATATGGTCAATTAGACCACTAACCATAAATGGATTTTTTTTAGAAAAATTATATATTTTTCTTCTTGATCATTATTGAATAAATAAACAACACTTTCTCCTTCTATGGAAAATATCCAGGGTTGTATATCGTACAGTATTTTATTGTTAACTGTTCGGATCTGATAAAGTCAGACTGTGGAAAAGAAAATCACCCCTCTGGAATTTATGGTTGTGCATTAACCCAGAAAGGCGAAAGAGGAGTTTAAAAACCCCCTTGTCCTAATACCGTAAAACCTGATGGACTTCGAGATAAAAACGTTGTTAATAATTTACAACCTTTGAAACCGGGTAAAGTTCACACTAAAGTTGATACACTGTGTCAACGTGACAAAAGGTTGGCACGGAGGGTTCATCAAAAGGGCGAAATCTTTCGGCAATGCCTTTAATATCGTACGATGGTGGCATCTTTAATTTCCGAAATGGCTCGTCTCATTGCCACGGATAAAAGGAAAACGAAACATGACATTTTACGATAATGACAACCTCTCCATTATTTGTTAAAAATTAAACAAAAATTTGGTTTGAACAAAAACCAAGCTGAACATAAATAATTGTAAAAAAACAAAAAAACAGCCAATGTATAAGTTTATATTCGATATTCTACTTGAGAAAAGTTAAGATATTAAAGCAAGTTCATAGTCTAATCCTAGAAAAGAAATATTTGATAAATTCTTTACATTCAATCTCCTCGAATCTATTGGGTAAAAACCGGTCTTTCTATTGTTATAAAAACAGAGATAACAATTGTGAATTTGGCTTAATGATGTTTTCACAAGCTTCGCTAATTTTCCTTCGTATATAAATGAGCCATAAAATCCCACTGGACGAGTTAATTAATTAAGTTTCCCTTTAATTAAATAACAGCCGGTTTATTGCAAATCAATAAAGACGTTGCTCTGCAGAAATTGGGTCATGGTGGGTTTTTTCAGATCATAGATTAGACTCATGCGAGCTTTCCAGACAAACTAAACAAATTCTTTTTAATTATCGGCAATTATGTTTTTTGATTTGTATTTCTTAACGCATTCATAATCACGGGAGAAGAGTTAAACCTAAGGCTCAAATCAAAAAGAAAAGAACACGAAGATAAACAGAAAGTACCAGATACAATTATAAACACTTTTAAGATAAAAAATCATCAATAACTTAATTTTATTATAGGCTCATGAAAAATAGGACCAAAAACTTGGCGGTTCACGCGGTGATTAAACTACTCAAAAATGAATAGGAAAATAGAATTTCCTATTCTATTAATTTTAATTAAATTAACCGATATATTCTTGCTATTTGAAGAAAACAATATAGAAAATACCCGCAAGTAGATGTCGCAGAGGCAGTTGGCGTTCCTCAGGGTGTGGTCTCCCGGGCTTTAGCCCGATTCTGAGGAAGTGTCAATAGGAGGCCTGGTAGTGGATCTCAGCGCATTACTAAGCTAAGGGAGGAAATATTGTCATCGCTGCAAGACAGAACCCTTTCCCATAGTGCCCGCCAGTTGCTGAATAAAGTACAAGTTGGTTTGGTAATGCCTTTATCAACACAATAATTCGTAATCGTTTGTTGGAATTAGGTTCACCTCGTACACCCCTTTGAGACCTGCAGCACCAGCCGGCCACCAGCAACTCAGAAGAATATGGCGTGAAATGGTCAGTGCTGGGATTTACACTGGAGGACGAATAGGACGCCATATCGTTGAAGGCAGTCTCACCGCAGTCCGTTATGACCAACAAATTATCGAGGATCGTCCCTCAATCCGGGGATTTCATTGGCAGGGCTTTCGATTTCTGGATAACAATGAATCAAACCTTATAGAGGTAGAGCTGTTCATCAATGTTTAGAAAGCCTGGAATTTCCCATCTCTACCTTCCCCCATAGCCTCCAGAC